AATTGAAATAAAATTTAAAATTTAACCATTTATATGTAAATGAAAAAGTTTTCTAAATATGCAATTAATATTGTTTATAAATTTAAAGATAGATGTAATCAGTTTAATCATTTCTTTCTATTTTATTCAGTTATAAAATTTATTGGTCCGGTTTATCCGGTTTTAACAGGATAGTAGGATGTTTTCTTGTTTTAGACAACAATTTTTGAGATATCATATCAATGAACATAATTTGATCGTTATCTTTTATCATCGTTTCTATTATGATTATACGAAAATACGTAGAAATTAGTTTTATTTTTTATCAAATTTTTAAATATTTCAAAGGATAACTTTAAATCTTTTATCAATTTTTTTTACTGATATTGTATGATTAAATGTATTTTAAATTTAGCGCTTAAATTGAATTTTGAATGTTTTGATTTTTTTTGAATTTCTCTAAAATTTAGGAAAAAAAATTTTTGGTTAATTCTTTTTAGTTTTTATTAAAATTGAATTTTGAATTTCCCTTTAATTAAAAATTGCTTTTGAATTTTAAATTTTTTGAATTTTTCCGAATTTTTAAACAAAAAATTTTGAAGCAAGTTTTTTTAATTTTTATTAAAACTAAATTTTGAATGTTTTTGAATTTTTTTCAATTAAAATTAAAATTTTATAATTTTACATATGATTGAAAATTTCGCGCAAAATTGACATGATATTTAAAGATTGATAGCTTTAAAGATTTTATCATTCCTTATCACGACTTTTTTGTGGTTTTAATTTATTTAAAAAGAAATGAAGAGAGAGAGAAAGAGGGAGAGAGAGAAAAAAAAACTTGAAATGTGACAATTGTTCCAAGTTGTAAGATAAAGGATTGTAACAAAGGTTATTTGGGGGTCATTATTTGTGTAATTTATCTTTCGTTACTTCCTATTGAGAATATTTGTAATAATTTAGTTGCTGTCAAAAATATTTGTAAAAATGCTATGATAAGTTTGAAAGGAAAAGATATATTTAACATTTTAACAAATATGAATTTGTAATTTAATTTAACAAATTAAATTATCTCTAACATAAGTTTTAATTTATTGCTTTAATTTTAACAAATATTATTGAAGTGATATATTCAAATCTTACACTAATAAAAATGTGTAATAATATCACATATCATCTCTTTTATTATCATCATTTTATATCACACTATCATCATTTTTATCATTAATATAATTAATCGTAATAACAATCATGATAATCATGATTGTGGTAATCATGATTGCGATTGTAATTATGATAAATAAATGATTGTTATTGTGATGTACACATATATCCATAACAAGATATAATTATTTATAATGCATAATCATGATTACTGTACATATAAATACACATACACCACATACACACACACACACACACACACACACACACACAGACACAGACACAGACACATATACATCAAAATGCAATTAATATTCACAATACATGATCAATATTATTATAGTGTTATATTGACATACATATAGTTAATCACAATACGTAATCATAATTTGTTATAGTGATATAAATATTGGAACATAATTAATCACAATATATAATCATGATTGTTATAGTGATTTATATATATATATATACATATAAACATGAAATCTTGCAGAATTTGATTAAATTTATCGTAATTTCATATACATATAATTGTTCTAACGATAAATTGTAAAACTATATTCCAAGACATTTTTATAGTTATAACGGATAGTTATTCAGTAAAATTGTTTTTTATAGTTATCACGGATAGTTATTTAATAAAATTGTTTGTTGTAGTTATAATGGATAGTTTTCAGCGAAGCTGTTTGTTATAGTTATAATGGATAATTATTCAGTAAAATTGTTTTTTATAGTTATAACGGATAATTATTCAATAAAATTGTTTTTTATAGTTATAGCGGATAATTATTCAATAAAATTGTTTTTTATAGTTATAACGGATAATTATTCAGTAAAATTATTATTTTTATA